TAATGCACACCCAAAATTACACGATGTTATAAACCATTACAATCCCAATAAAATTACTTTAAAAAAGAGGATATCCAAAAGGCCGATAAGCATACGATGTGTTCAATACAGTCATTAACAAAATATAAACAAAAATCACAAAGAAATGTCACAATGGCTTAAATTATAAAACTAGGGACCAGCCCTGTGGTTGAGTGGTTCACTTCTCACACTCCGCTTTGGCAGCCCAGGGTTAGAGGGTTCAGGTCCTGGGCGTGGACCTACACACCGATCATCAAGCCATGCTGTGGCAGCATCCCACATGGAAGAACTGGAATGACTTAGAACTAGGATATACAGCTATGTACTGGGACCTTGGGAGGGAAAAAATGAAAAAGAGGAAGATCGGCAACAGATGTTAACTCAGGGTCAAACTTCCTCACTGAAAAAAAGGAAAATACATTTAAGGAAGATTTTTTTTTAATTATAAAACTAATATCTAGTACCAGTGGGAATGTATAAAATCATAAAACTGCACTGGAGAATTGTTTGGCAATATCTACTAAACATAAACGTGCCTGTCATATGATTTAGCAATTCTGTTCCATTGGTATATACCCACTGAAAACATGTATAAGAATATTCCTAGAAGCTTTAATGACAATAGCCAAAAACTAGAAATAATTCAAATGTATATGAACAGTAGAATATAAAAACAAATTGTGGAAATGTTCATATTGAATATATGGATCATAAGAAAGATCAAACTACTAATACAACAACATGAGTGAATCTCAAAAACATTACATTGGGTCAAAGAAGCCAGGCACAAAAGCATACATGCTGTAAAATTTATTTGTAGGAGGTTCAAAAACAGGCAAAACTAATCTGTTGCAATAAAAGTCAAATAGTGGTTACTTCAGAAGAAAGAAGTGATTTCTGGCAGTCAAGAGGTGAGGGACAAAGAAATTTTCTGTTGTGATGGAGATGTTCTGTGCCTTGATTGGGATGGTACTTACACAAGTGTATTAATATATAAAAAATTACTGACCCATACACTTACCATTTATAGCTCTCGCACTTGGGTTGTTTGACCAGGAGACCACATAGATGTGAAGGTATCTCTGGTCATGACATCAAGACACCACGTGGAGTCTCTGGCAAGGTCTCCTATGTGAATCATAGGATGGATCACAGGGATTCTACATCCAAGCCCTTCCATCTACAGCAGAGACGATACACCCTTTAAAACACAGCTCCTCAGATACTCTTGAGCCTTGGTAGAGACGAATCATAGAGCATCACGTAACTATAAACCTAAGGTTGCCCTATTTTGAGCTGAGATGTCATCACGCCCAGAAAATTGTAAGACTGAGTGATCACAGCAACTATCCATGATATAAAAAACAAAGAATGTGATATAACTTAGGACAAGAGCAAGTGCAGAAGACAAAAGCTGAAAGAACAGTTGGCCCAGATGCCCAGAACACCTACATCACTCATGCCTCCCTCTCAGTTGATAGGTAAGTAGATAGACGGATGGAGGGATGGATAGATAGATAGATAGTTGCTGAGTGATTCCCTACAATCAGCTGACAGTTTAGGAAAAAAGATAGTCCTGATACAAGGATGATTTGGCAAGATATACTGGTGCAATATATCTACCATTCAGGTTTGAGGCCTTAAAGGTAATCGATGACGGTAAATCTCTCATTGCCCACCGCTGACAATTTACCTAGTCATCTACTTTGTGGAAAAAGGAGTTGCCTGAGGTGAGAATATGTTGGACTCTTGAAAATTGGAAAATGGATTGACTGGTTGGTCATTGACCTGGAAGGAGCACAGTTGGACTATCGGGTACATGGAAGTATGGGGAAGAGATGTATGAAAATATGTATATCTCATATTAATGCCAAACAACAAGTGACTGTGAGCGACATAAATACGAAAAGATCTGGGATGTTGAACCTCAAAGGCAAGGCCTGGAATAAACTGAAAGGGCCTTCCAAGGACGATGCCGTGAAAGCTTACATTGACAAAGTAGAAGACCTAAAGAAAAATATGGAATATAAGGGACTGGATTTGACTGCCAGCCATGCATTTCATCTAAACTGATACAATGCCTTGTTTTTCTAATACTGTGGATGAAGTGAAGTAATGAAAATAATCAGTTAACGCCATTCCTCAAATCTTTCCAGGCTATGGCTCTAGGAGATTAGGGGCTGATGTACTTACTGACCTTCACTGAGTAGTTTTTATCTGTAGATCAATTAAAAGTGCATTTGTTACTTTAAAAATAAATCATTCCCGAAGAGGTATTAAACAACCAGGCACAGGATGACTCAGTCATAAACGTCAGCCAGGCTTTGCTCTCAGCCACCCTAGTGATTGCACAGTGAGTACACCAATGCAGTAGCCATGGCAAAAGAGATGGAGGCTTTGCATGAATCCAACAGCATAGGCTACCCCTTGCCAAGTCTGCTCTACTCAGCTGAACATCTGTCCTGTGAGTAGCAGAGACCAATGCTGGGCCCTCAATATGGTGCCTTCCTACTAAGGAGACCAACACAGTTGATGGCCTGTTGATTTCTTCCACCCTATATAGGGCAATAATTCATTGTGATTGCAGATGTTATGCATTACAGGTATGAATTTCTCTTTCTTATCTGCAGAACCTTAGCTAGTACCTCTAATGGAGGGCTATTTCTGACATGGTTTCACACATAACATCACTTCAGTCCAATAGACTCACTTCACAGCAAAGAAAGTGACAGGGGGCAAATGGTCAAGGGATTTACTGGTCCCAATACATGTATTACTCAGAAATTGTAAACCTGATAGAAATTGTGACCTGACACACAGATTTAGGGCACTAGATTGTTGATAACACCCTGAAGAATTGGAATGCTATCCTCCAAGTATATGCTTTAATAGTAGAACGTGCCTACTTTGATAGGTGGAATACATATATCCAGCCCCATCCATGAGGGTAGAGGGGACACGAGTTGACCATCTGCCTTTACGGAGCTATATCTTTCCCATGAGGAAAGGTCCAAAAGTTATTAAAAAAAGAAAATTTTCAAAAGTAAACTTTTCTCAGCCCTTGTGCCTCATCCATTCTTCTTCCAGACAGGGCGACAAGCCCTGGAGCATGTCTAACATGAATCCCTAACATGAATGCCCTCACATTTCCAGATCTATGCTCAAGGATGTAGGGTATGGCTGCTATCTAAAATAATCTAATGATTAAGACCTTCAAATGCAAGTTTATTCTCCTACCAGCTTCAGGACAGTTGGGAAACCAGACTACAATAAAAGAAATATGGCTGCGGGAATGAATGTCAAGGTTCCATTTCACTGACAATACCCAGACACGGATCTTTGCATCCCCCAAGTGCCCCTTGAAGGCTTAGGAGCTGGAACAGCATAAAAATTCATGAAACTATAACAAATTCCTGTATTTGGGTAGCTGTAATATTCATGCGGCACCAGGGTATGACTTCATGTGTGTGTATCCTTTCAGTTACGGAGGGACTACCTGCTCTTACCTTCACTTTGCAAGATCTTGCTATCTCTCTGGCTTCCTCAGAGACAGAAAGTCCTCTCCCCTCTCAAAAGGAAATCAGCAGTTGGGTTCTTCATGTCTCTATAGGGAACATGCTGGTGCACGCAAGACCTACTGTCTCGTGCCCTACACAAAGCCCTCATGACAATTAGAAAGGTACCCTGTGGAGATAATAAGTTAATAAAGCCTTTTCTTCTCAAAGGAAACTTGAAGAGCCAAGAACCTTCTTTGGCAGGACTCTTATGAGCAGAAAGTCTTCCAGGGCTGTCAGTGAACTCAGCTACACTAGACGTGTTTGCCTTGTCTGCATGAAGATTTTTGGGTCCTTATACCATAGTCATCTCTGGACACACGGGTTCCCTAATTGCCTTTGTGAGTTCTGGTCAAATATATTTTAACATCATTTTCATTGCTTATCTTTTACTCTTACACTTTAATATTATGCAAAAGTACATTTTTATTAATGCTCAAATTTTGCTAATTGATACTTTAAATCATAGGATAATCTGAGTAAATACGTTATTAATATATTAATATATGAATCTAATCAATATATTAATGGTTATTTATGACTGGTAGCTATTTTTAAGGTAAGAGATACATGTGTGCCATGACTTTCTGGTAAATGTTTAATATTAAACAAAAAAGGCCAGCACTTCTTTATTAAAAACCTAGATTTGAAATGTCACATACAGAGGAAGTCTAATATCTAAATATAGTTGGAAGAATATCCAGAGTTGGCAGATAAGTGTATAAGTGCTCATTTATTTATTATGTGCAAATTATGAGGCCACAGTCTGAGGAATGAGTTTGAGCTCAGAGTTCCCATCACTGATAGCTCCACCCTCAGAACAATGCTAGGACCTAATAGGAAGTCAATAAATACCTGCGAATTATTTTATTTTCAACATCCTGGACCCGACACTTATCATTGGAATGGTAACAAGAGAGTTATAATGCAAATGGGATGATTTTTAAACAGGTTTATAATTTGATGGCCATTTAAATTGAGAATTATTGCTCATCCTTGCCGTCTCCAAGATGATCTTATATAAAAGATGGGAATAAAATTTAAACAAAAATGTTTGTACTTACATTTTATTGTGGGATCATAGAGTAAGAAAGATGATTTAGTTCAATCTCTCAAGGAATTCAGAGACTTGCCCCCTCACAGAAGTCATCTAACTATTGCCAATTACCTGCACAGACAGTGCCTAAAACCAGAATTTATTTGAAGGATACGAGGTATCTCAGTGAGTGAAATAAAAACTGTATTCTATTAACATGTGACCATATATTTATTTTGAAAATTTAACCTCTGTTAAAAACATTGAAAGCCACAACAAGAGAAACGTATGTATATGTGTGCATGTACACAAATATTTTTTAAAATTTATTTTAGGGTTACCAAATATAGTCTTTAAACATTCATCAAAAAACACAAAAATTCACTGAAAGCATTTCTGAACAATTCTCTATCCAACAAAAAGGTATTAAACAGGTTAACATAAATCTATTTTTGAAGACTTCTCTTAAAACATGAACATTAACTCAATTTCCTCTGTTTTAGGAACATGAGAGACAATATGACATCTATCATGGAGTTCATCCTACTAGGGTTTCCCTTCAGCCCAAGGATTCAGGTGCTTCTCTTTGGGCTCTTCTCCCTGTTCTATGCCTTCACCCTGCTGGGTAATGGGGTCATCCTGGGGCTCATCTCACTGGACTCCAGACTGCACACCCCCATGTACTTCTTCCTCTCACACCTGGCCATCGTCGACATAGCCTATGCCTGCAACACAGTGCCCCAGATGCTGGTGAACCTCCTGAATCCAGCCAGGCCCATCTCCTTTGCTGACTGCATGACACAGACCTTTCTCTTTTTGACATTTGCTGTCACCGAATGTCTTCTCTTGGTGGTAATGTCCTATGATCGGTATGTGGCCATATGCCACCCCCTCCGATATTCTGCCATCATGAGTTGGAGAGTCTCCGTCACCCTTGCAGTGACTTGCTGGACCACTGGAGTTCTTCTGTCTTTGGTTCATCTAGTTTTACTTCTATCTTTACCCTTTTGTAGACCTCAGAAAATTAATCACTTTTTCTGTGAAATCATGGCTGTTCTCAAACTTGCCCGTGCAGATACCCACATCAATGAAATAGCAGTGTTGGCTGGAGCAATTTCTGTGCTAGTGGGACCCTTCTCATCAATTGTAGTCTCATACATGTGCATCCTCGGTGCCATCCTTAGGATCCAGTCAGGGGAAGGTCAAAGAAAGGCCTTCTCCACCTGCTCATCCCACCTCTGTGTGGTTGTACTCTTCTATGGCACAGCCATTATCACGTATGTTGGGCCTCAGCATGGGAACCCAAAGGAGCAGAAGAAATATCTCCTCTTGTTTCACAGCCTTTTCAATCCCATGCTTAATCCCCTGATCTATAGTCTGAGGAACAAAGAAGTGAAGAATGCCTTAAAGACAGTGCTGAGAAGAGAGAGAGTCTTATGAAAAGATTATGGCATCAGAGTTGACAGTGACCTAGGAAGACATTATCTCAAGGGGTTCTAAACTGAACTCAGCACAAGAACTATCTGAATTAAAGCACAGGAATTAAAAGTAGAGTTATCTGCTGCCCCACCAGTAGATCACTGATTCAGTAGATGTGAAATGTATTCTAGAAGTCTGTCTTCAAATATTATCAGCAGCAAATTGTGATGCAGCTGGTCCACAGACCAGGATTTGGAAACCATAGATCTAGAACAACACCCTTTATAATATCTCAGTCAAGCTATGGGCAGCCCCGTATCTCCCAAAATGTCCTCCTCAAAGCACTAGCCCCTCAAGAAGGCTTTAAAAATACATTCTGTGGTCAAATAAGTTTGAGGATGATTGCATTTTAGGTACCTCATTTTAGGGTTCCCAATTCACATTAGCAAAGTGAAAACTGAAAATTCCTACAATAAAGAAGAATTCTATTTCAAGTTTTAGCCAGTCTTTTCCAAACTTACTTGATCACATGAAATTTTTTTATAACATTTATTGACAGGTTCCTGGAACAGAAGAACTTGATCTGGATTGCCTCATTGTGAGTACTTCCTGTAACCACCTTCTAGAGCAAAATCATTTTTTTCCTGCAAGGTGAACCTCTAAGGAAGATGGAGGTGTAAACACAGTAGCCTAGATTAGCCTGTGAGAATCTGTGCTCTCTTTGGGTACAGAAAGTGAGGGTCACTGTCTCTACTCTTCAATGCTGGATCATCTGGAGATAATGAATCCAACCCTCTGCTTCATCTGGGATCAGCATTCCTAGATACATCTCAGGGGGTGACCTCGTTCAATTTCACCATTTTCTAATCTGAGATTTAAAAAAATGTACTCTATGTACATTTTCCTGTTTACCCACCACATGACATCAATCTATTTTTTCTGTCTCAGTGCTTTAAAGATAAAACCAAGTTTCTCACAGAAATCTGGAAGGACTTGCAATACCCACTACCTATGTAGTGTGTAAGCTTTGAAAAAGTTTCTCGATTGTTGTTTAGAAAATAGAGCTATGGGAGAAGTTCTATAAGAGAATGTTCACAGGATTAGGTCTGTGATGCATATGGTGGATAAAAAGGAAAGGAATAAAAGATAGAATGCCCAAGGGGCTAGTTGATCCCTTGGAGATTAAGAAAAAGTACATGATTTATTACTCGTTGGCTATTCTTGCAATGAACAAGTCTCAAACAAGAGCTTCATAAACAGGAATTTCCTGATACTCTTTATAGAATGCCATGTGCATTACTATAATCTCAAAAAAAAAGGATTAAGTGAAGTGCCTGTGCAGTCACAAAGATTTCCTCCCAATGAAGGAAAAAAATGAACAGTGTGACCACGTTCTTTTGTAGCAAAGACATAGACAAAATTTTATTACTTGTTCTTTTTCTACTGCTGGAAGAAAATATTGTTTTCAAGGGGTACAAAGTAAATTAACATCTTTTTAAAGTTATAATTTTTAAAATGTTATTTTGGAATACAGTCAGGTCTCAGCTACTGGAAAAGCAATAAGATTTGGAGATATGTAAAGGCACGGTTATAGCAATGTATTGATTGTAAATTAAACCCTAGAGTAAATTGGAGAAAAAAGTTCTATCGTGGCTTAGTGGAGTCGAACACTGCTGAACAATTAGGAATTTGGGAGATTAAGAGAAACTACTTAATTGCATCAAATTGTTTTATATTATTGAACAAATATCATCATTTCAATAAAGAGATTAGTGTTCTTGATTATGGGATTAATGTTTAGTCCTTAATAAAGTTTATGCTTAATTGAGTCAGACAAAAGCATTCTAACCTCTTAATTCAACATTTCTATGGTAATTCTGATGATCAGACTATGAAATCATAATCTGAGCATCAATGTTTATCCAGTGCGGGATTCTTCATTGGGAGTTTATAGGCACTAAGGAACACATGGACAGTTCTCAGTGGCTCAATGGATCCTTGAAAATATAAACAAAGTTCTCTGTACTCGTGCTGTGTGTGAACCGGAGAGGAGAATGACTAGGAGATCCTCAGCATTGTCTTGTAAAGAGAGATCCACGACCTCATAAAAAGCTAAGAAGCACTGATGTATTGATGAAAGTTGTTTGTGTGCCTTTTTTTAAATGGGCATTGCAAACCTAGTCTCATAAAGTGTTAAACTTCAAAAAGGAAAGTCAAAAAGTGGCAGAAAACAATTTTCTTGAGAAAACCCTTAGGGGTTTAAGTCTTGGTCATCAGATTGGTAGGTCCAGAAACAAGGTTGCTATCAGTTAACCTGGAATTAAGCATAATTGAGAGAAATGACTGACCCTCACAGGACTCACCAGATAATCATGGTTAACTCGGATGCCAATTTCAACCTTTATAATGAAAGATATTTCTTCCCAGGGAAAGGAGTACTATACACATTATCTAAGATACTCAAGTTCTCTTTTTAAAAATCTGAGAAATAAAGAACAAAAATATGGGTCAAGGAGCCTAGAATCAAAGAAAATGGAATTGAGTAATATCGAAGGGTATTTTTTCAAAACTGTAGAAAAAATTCCCCCCATAGATCACAATTCTCATCATGAGAACCCAGGTGTCTACCAACTGAAGTTTCTATGTCTTGGGCTTTGCTCAACAAGCTCTAACAAATTCTGCCTCTGTATTTTCCCATTTTTCAAGATTTCAAGTGAAACATTGATCTTTTGACCTGTTCACACATAATTACTCCAGAAATACCATTAATAACATTTTACAATTGTTATTTCCCATCAATTACATCCCTGCCATGGTATTCTGAAGATAATGTTCATCCTTGACTTGGATATATATTTCATCACTTAAAAGCTAAAATTTTGCAAACCAATTATCAAAGTAATTTAGTTTGGGAGGTGTTTAAATTATTGACATGTTGATTTTTACGTATTCTACTTTTAAATGGAAATTATGTCCAAGTTATAGTGGACCTCGCTATAACCATATGTGTTGTAAATGCAGGTTGAAATAAAGTCAGTGATTACAGAAAATGCCCAATGCTGACAGATGATGTAAATATTTGTGAACACATTTATTGCAAGTAAGAGCTGACTGTGTTGTGTATATTATTTTCCTTCGTGTATATTTATATTTTGTATATGTTTGTTTTATTCTGACCACTTTTAAAAGTTGTCCACAAGGTAAAAGCTGTGTTACCTTGATATGCAATAAAAAACATGTAATTTTGAGATTATGCATATTACTAGATTTAAGTTCATTTGGTATCATAAACATTTATATTTAATTCCTTATTGTCTTAGTTCAAATTTTTAACTTTTCATAACTGATGGTCACATGGTGATGAACATAGAAAACTATGTCCTAAAGTATTGTTTTCACAGGATTTCAGTTTGCTGCTAATTTTTGCTCTTATATGTCAGTTTTCTGATTTCCACATTTTCTGCAGGTCACCTGGAACATAAAAAGAAAGGAAAGAAGAAAGGTCCCAATATTTATGGATTGCCCGATATGTACCAGGCTTCTCATATGATTGGGAGCCATCTTGGGTGTCCCTAAATGTGTGCTTCTTCCCACAGTGGATATACAGAGCAGGAGCACAGACAGAAATGTTCTCAAAATTTGATAACTGTGCCCAATTTTCCCAAAGTTTATGTCATAATCCCAGGAAGGCAGGAATCACACTGTAATGAACTAATTAGTTTGTAAATTGCATGATTGACTGATAGGAGATTTCCAAAATAACATTTTGACCGTCTCATGTCCAGTATAAGAACACAGACAAATACAAATAAATAGGACAATATCTTAGGTAGCAAATCTTCTCCCAATCCCAGAACAGGCAGCAAGCTTCTAGGGGAAGCTGCCTCCTTGGAGAGAGTCCTTTCCTCCCTTCTCCTGAGGGGCTGGACTCAGAATGGAGATTCAAGAATACTTCCAACAGTCGACCTCCTAGAAAACCCTCCCTCAGGCAGATCCTAATAAGCCCCATTGGGACACCTTGGCCTCTCCTTGGACCCACTAATCCTCTCCATGCCTCCGTAACCCACTCTCTACAGCATCTCCACACCTCGAGTCGTTACTTGGCATCAGCTGATTTTTCAGGGGCCTTTCTTCCCACTCCTGCTGCAGCGCAAGGGGTCCAGATTACAGTGGGGAGAAGCTGAGCCACAGAGGTTAATGCCAGGAGCTTATTCACCGTCACACTGGTTCTGCTTCCTCACAGGTTCACCTCAACCATCTGGAGATTTGGGAACTAGGGCAGAGCTGGGATTCATGAAATCCAAATAATGCCCAGTATTCCGGGGCTGTAATGAGTCACGTTGTCTCAGAGGTGTGCTCCGTGGCGTCTGTGTTTCCTAATTGTGCATCCTGCTGGGGATGAGAACAGGAATAGAGAAAGAGAATTGCTTTGTCTCTCCTTCCCAGTGGAGGTGGGCATGCACTACATCTCATGGCCCACTCCCTCCAGGAGCCCTCCAGAGCTGCCAACTAGGTTGAGCCCATCAGAGAATAAAACTTCCTTTTCTGAGGATTCTGCCACATTTCCCATCAGGAACAGAAGTGAGAGTTCTGCAGCTCCCACAGAAGCTTCTAGAAAGTAGGACAGTGACCAATCTTCAGGTGCTTTTTCTTTCTAAGGTCCTTGCGTCCAAATGTGGGAGCTACGAGATTGCCTTATTTTATTTCACCATCAGTTCTTCTTAGATGTGTTCCACTATACAGTTTTTATGAACTATGTCTCTGTTACTGCCACTCTTTATTTAAGTATTGGAAAGAAAAATAAATACTTTCTATTAATGTTAAACATATATACTCATCATTCATATTCTATATGAGTGCTTTCAGGGAAAAATCAAATGCAAGTTTTATAGACAAATTATATAAAGGTGTTTAGGATTTGGTTAATTTTGTTTCATTGGTGGAGAAATATCCACATCATAGAGAAAAAATTACACTAAAGAAAAGAAGTTGACACCAAAGAAAAGAAGAAATTTCTGTATTATGAATTTAGATGGAACATATGAAATAATTTTCCTAGCCAAAGGAAATATAGCAGGGTTTATTATGGAGTGATGTTACATTTCAGTAAAATTAATATGTTGGTTATATGAATTATGCATTTGATTATTGTAAGCAAAGTCACAATTCATATTAAATCTATGAGAACATATTGCAGTGGAAGATGAAGCCAAATGGATACTAAATCTGTCTTATATTTATCTTTAGTTAAGCATAGCACTAAAGACGGTAGCAGGCAGCTAGAATGTACTCAATAAATATGTGTAAATATTAGATTTTCTGTAGGTTGGCGGATAAGTTTTTGTGGCGGGGATGGAAAGAATACAGAAAAGGGACCAAGGTGTTAGGTGGTGGTGCAGCAAGGTGGGAGAAGGACAAGATAGTCACTAAGACTTTACATTTTCTTTTTAGAGGATGTTTATGTTTAATGTACACCTTTGTATTTATCTGTTTATCCCTGAGCTTTCTCCTGAAGCACGTTTTTTCCAGTAACATCTTCACAGAGCTCAGAACAATCAATCCGCTTCATTATGTGCTTCTAAGTCCCCATACACAGGAAGCACATAATAGTATGATGCATTATTATCAATCTTCAGGAGATTCTCGAACAGACTGTAATTAGTTGGAACTGACAGTCAGTTCTTCTTTATGGTCCACATTAGTTTTAATATCTAGAAAAATCACTTATCAACCCTTACCCCATAAGACAACTTTGCCAAGTCTTGGCTTATACCTATGTAAACAATAAAATGAATTAGTTTTCGGTTCTTCCTCGTTACTTGCAAGTAAACAGTCCTACAGTTCAGCTGAGCTATGGATTAACACGAGATGATTACCTTAGGAATTCTGCTTTACCCATGCCCACCACTTCAGAAAAGAACTTTTCAGCTCATCACTTCGAGATTTTCTTTTTAAAATATAAGTTCCATCAAGTTTTGATGTTTTCTTTATATAGGCAATGATTTCCTTCTTAGATATTTACTTTAGAACTTTAGAGTTCACTGATTGCCATTTTCAAAATTCTGAAATTGTACATTTATAAATTAATGGACATCACTCTTCCTAAAAGCTACATTTGGAATGGGATGTATTTCAATCTTGAGCCACCTCCTTCACCCCTACAAGCCTGTGAGAAATTTAATCTGTTTGCAATCCATTTGATTGTATTTAACTAATATTAGATATGTCACGTACGTATCAAATAAAATAAGAAAAAATAAAAGTATACCCAAAATTTAATTGTTTAAAACACTTTGTAAATCCTTCAGTTATTTTTACCAAATTTATAAAATCCTGTTTTAATACAGATTACCAAGGGTGAAATTCTTCTGAATTACTGTATTTTACTTCCTTTGCAAGGAATGGGCTGGACTTGGCATAATTATAGTAAAATATATTTTAAAAGAAACCAGATCTAATATAAGGACATCAACATTTAGACGTCTGTTCATTTGTTTATGTTTATTAATTTATCACTCAACTTCCCCACTGCTTTAAAAGAAAACAAATTTGCAACAAATAGGGCTACTGTGCTTAAAGAATATTGATGTACTCTGGCCTTGTTTTTCATCTGTCTTTCAATCTGGCTATGAAAAAATCTAGTTTGTACTGTATTTCTTTTTTCATTTATGTTTTCACATTGAGGGAAAGAAATGAAAATTGAGAAGGGAAATTACTATTTTATAAGTGGGTGGATTTGAGTGTGTCTTTCACAGCCAAATATTTTCCTATGCCTTATGTGTTTAAAAAATAAATTTAGAAAGTTTGTTAAGCACCGAAGTTTTTTTTCATTTTTTGAGGAAGATTAGCCCTGAGCTAACATCTGCTGCCAATCCTCCTCTTTTTGCTGAGGAAGCCTGGCTCCGAGCTAACATCTGTGCCTGTCTTCCTTTACTTTATACATGGGACGCCTGCCACAGCATGGTTTTTTGCCAAGCACTGCCATGTCTGCACCTGGGATCCAACCTGAGAACCCCGGGCCTCTGAGAAGCGGAACGTGTGAACTTAACCCCTGTGCCACCAGGCGGGCCCCACCATTCTCATTTTTAAAGCTCTTCTGTTATTGATTATTTCTACTATCCAGCAATTCTCTTACAGATTTGGACATTTGTAGTGCTGAGACAATCCATATTTCATGGTTATTTTCTTTGTCATTTGGTTTGATATTTCTTAATTTCATCACAGGGTCAATGGCTCTAGGTAGTAATCTAGGTAGGTAATCACTGGTGACATATTTTCCTTCTGTAAAATTGGATAGCAGGTAAAGAATTTAGCTTAATGGACAGAGACAATTTAAATTTGTTTAAACAGGTAAGGCTTCCTTCCTTCCTTTTTTCTCTACTCCCTTGTTTCCTTCCCTTATTTATAATTCTATGAGTTCTTAAAGATGTATACTATTAATTTTCCACACACCAAAAATTTATGAAACAATAAATAAAATAGATGTCATATAGCTATCTGGTTCTCTCATTAATAGTGAAATGAAGGAAAATCAGACAATGGTTATGGAGTTCATCCTACTGGGATTTCGTCTTGGTCCAAGGATTCAGATGCTTCTCTTTGGGCTCTTCTCCCTGTTCTATGCCTTCACCCTGCTGGGTAACGGGGTCATCCTGGGGCTCATCTCACTGGACTCCAGACTGCACACCCCCATGTACTTCTTCCTCTCACACCTGGCCATCGTCGACATAGCCTATGCCTGCAACACGGTGCCCCAGATGCTGGTGAACCTCCTGAATCCAGCCAGGCCCATCTCCTTTGCTGGCTGCATGACACAGACCTTTCTCTTTTTAAGTTTTGCTCACACTGAATGTCTTCTCCTGGTGGTGATGTCCTATGATCGGTACGTGGCCATCTGCCATCCTCTTCGATATTCTGTCATCATGAGCTGGAGAGTTTGCATTACCCTAGTGGTGACTTCCTGGACGTGTGGCGTTCTCCTGGCCCTGGTCCATGTGAGCCTCATCCTGCGGCTGCCCTTCTGTGGGCCTCATGAAATCAACCACTTCTTCTGTGAAATCCTGTCTGTCCTCAAGCTGGCCTGTGCTGACACGAGACTCAACAAAGTTGTCATCTTTGTTGCTTCTGTGTTTGTTTTAGTGGAGCCCCTCTGCTTGGTGCTGGTGTCCTACATGCGCATCCTGTTTGCCATCCTCAGGATCCAGTCAGGGGAGGGCTGCAGAAAGGCCTTCTCCACCAGCTCCTCCCACCTCTGTGTGGTCGGGCTCTTCTTTGGCAGCGCCATCGTCATGTACATGGCCCCCAAATCCCGCCATCCTGAGGAGCAGCAGAAGATCCTTTTTCTGTTTTACAGTCTTTTCAACCCTATGCTGAACCCACTGATCTACAGCCTGAGGAACTCAGAGGTCAAGGGTGCTCTGAGGAGAGCAGTGTGCAAGGAAAGTCATTCCCAATTGGAATGACATTTGAATCTCTAGCCTAAGTGCTCGATTACTGCCTAAATCTAGAAAAGTTCACTACTCTCTTCGTATGTGTGCCTTAATGACACAAGAGTAAGTCTTCCCTCTTCCTTTGAAGGAAAAGTTTTAGATATATTGCATTCATTGATTTTTCTATTGGATATGATTTTATCAGACATGATTTTTTCTTTTATTTATCATTGAATTAAATATCTGTGCAATTAAAAATTATTTTAACTCATTTTCTGGCTTCCAAAAGTTGAATACAGTCTATCTGTCTCCCTTATTTAACTATATAAACTCACTAACTGTATATGCCACAATATGTTGGAAGAAAAAAATGCTGCAGTGAAAGGAAGTGATGCCCCTAACCCAGCACAAACTTGTCCATTCTCCCTCAATTGGACTCACCCTGCTAAAGAATAACTGAGGGATATTGAGTTGTGTTGCATGACATTGAGAAATTTCATATGAAAATTGACTAATATTAGGGAGTTACTGAGAAGGCCGAGTGAAGGAACAAAATTAATACAAGGTATATAGGAGAAGAGAGGGGAGAGAAGGAAAAACCTGCAGACAGTGTGGGAACAGTGCACTTCGATTACAACTGTGGGGTAAATTGGTTAGCTAGTAGCTAGCAAAAGGGCAAAACTGGGCATTATCCCCTTGAATAGGCTGATAATTGGTATCAAAGAAAATAGTTTGGGTTGCTTATGGATTTTCCAGAAAATCTTGAGTGTGGGGCTGTAAATTATGAAGATGCACAGACTACCTCTATATTTGGTTTTCCAGCGTCTTTTCATCATCAATTCCAGATTGATTAGTCCAGATGTGCATCATTTCCCTCATTAGGATGTCTTATCCCTGAAATAGGACATTTCACCAGATAGCGTAAGTGGCTAACCCAGTATAGCTGGCTATTCAGCCTTGGTGGAGGATTGATTTTTACTGATTCATTCTACTTGACAAATCCAATGGTCGGGGATGAGTCCCACACATTTCAGGTGGCCTCTTAAGGTGTTGCCTATAAAATCCACTTCCTAAACTGCCCTGAGACTACTATGGCCACTAGCTTCCAGAGCCTTTCTCAGTCTCACAGTAAGAGTGAACATAAGACTTAGAACAATAAGTGTGTGCCCTTCACTTGGGAATTAATAATTGCTCAACTCAACTCTTAAATACTGTGTATTGGCAGCAGAGCTTACTGACTGTAAAAACAAAATGAGTTTTTATAATAGCTGACATTTTGATTGATCACTTATCCAGTGCTATATGCTGTATACGGTTAGCACTTTACATGGATCGTCTCATTCAGTCATCACAACAAATCCACGACAAAGTTCCTATTATCAGTCTATTTTATATATGCACACACCAAAAAGTAGCAAATGTCAGACTTTTACCCAGACAGCCTGGCTCCTGAGCCCTCTGTACTTAACCACAACAATCTAGTATATCAGTATCAGTGTTGTCAAATAAAAAACAAGACTAAGTTATCCCAAGGAAGGATGTGTTTAAGTGAAGGAGGGTTTCCTCACAGCCTCGTGTGTGCCACAGTGAACTCATCTGTGCTCTGCGAAGCCTGGAAGATCATCCATGAGAGGATGGTTGTCCTGGACAGTGAATCCTATGGGCAGAGTCACAAAAATCATTGGACTTTTAGAGGAATACAGAACACGAAGAAGGTGAGAATAAAGATCATTCTCATTGAGATTGGTGAGTTAGTTCAGCTAAGGCCCAGAACCCATACACCAAGACACCAACACCACAGTCTCTCTGTCTCTGTCTAGCTCTGGCTCTGGCTCTATCCCTCTGTCTCTCTCACTACAGGTCAGGCACTGCGCTGTACACTTATTATCTCCTTTAATCCTCAAAACAGCCCTTTGAGGCAAAGGACAATCAATAACCCCACTTTACATGTGAGGAAACTGAGGCACCAAGAGATTGAGTAACTTGCACAGTATCACAGCTAACAACTATCCAGTCCGGGATTGAACTGAGGCAATCTGATTCCTGACCCTACCTTCAAGACCACTGAGTAACATGGCCTCTTCAGAGCATATCTGTGGATAAAGATCAGAGAAATCAAGAGGATGAAATAAAACAAATCACTAAGACCAAGTGATGGGCATTAGGTGTTAGACAGAAAAGGACTTAGATTCGCTAAAGAAAGCTGCTTGCCTCTAAATTGATATGTGAAAAAGTGGATGTGGTAACAAGAAAGAACTATGACTCCAAGGGTCAGAGATGGAGGAGGGGTCTGGCGATGAGGTTGGTAGTGAAACAGAAAACAATGGAAGAGAAGATTGATGTTGCAGTTCCACACAGGTGTCTCATCAATGGAGTAGACTTGGAACGGGTGTTTGATAGTATCGTATCTACACAGAGCCCTTTCCCAAGACCAAGGAATTCGGATTTCATTTTTGGTGTTCAAAATTGTTATCATCGTTCAGGTGGCATTTACCACCTTTCTCAGGGAGGTATCGAGGTTTGCATGTAAGATGGAGAGTTCCATGAGGGCGGGAACTGCAGTCTGTTCATCACTTTTTCACCAGCACTAGCGCACTACCTAGCACATGGTAAGCACTGGTTGTGTAAATTCATGAGCCTTTAACTATCGGTTAATGACTTACACACATTTTTCAGTGTTAAACTATCTTCTGATTTCTACATTTTGAAAATCCTTTTATTTGCAGAACATAGTATGGTAGAAAATAATTGTAGCTAAAATTCATTTAATACGGGCTGTGTACCAGGCACTACGTTAAATTCTTTAGATGTCATCCTCACATCAAAGCTATGAAGTAAGTACCAATAGTATTGTCATTTATAAAAGGAAATTGAGGTTTAGAGAATTAATTAACATACTCAATGTCACAAAAATATCAAGCGGTGAAATCTGAATTCAAGGGTAGTCATTTGCATCTAGATTGTGAACCATTCTTTTGAAAAGAACCTTCTGATATTTACATTTTCAATGGCTAAACCAGGCCTGTTTCATAGTAGTCACTCAATAAATGGGACTAAATAAATAAATGAATGACCATTCAGCCCAAACTTCTATCCAGTAAAATGTGAGTAACTCCATAAAGTATGTAACTTAAGTAGAGCGGCCATTATTCTTTCAAAGTTAAACATCTCATTGTCCATTAGTCATCTTTAGTTCCAGATGTATTCAGGTCTTGCAAAAGTTTCTTATGGGGTAAATATTAATAATTAACTACATTCCTTTTGCCGGTGATCACAGAGGAATTGCAAACATATTAGGAGAAGGCATTTAGTGCATAATATAAAAAAAAGGAGAGAGAGCTATGTATATTCATTTCTATCATGTAGAACACAGGTTACGAGCCTTTCAAAAAGATCATGCTAAGCCCTATGATTATGGTTTGCCAGGATGGTGCTTGGGTTAGCAGAATAACCACATAGGCGGTGTTAACTCTCTGATCTCTCCCAAGAGGGTCGAAATATTAGGGGCTGTAACTACTGAAAATGATAGGTATGAGATGCTGTTGGTGGAAGTCAGTTCACAAGCCACTTGAAATTGGATCCCACCACGACTTTGGCATGTGGAGCGGGCACTGCCAACAACTGACCTATAGGACGATTGTTTAGTCTTTGCTAGATAGTGTAGACCAATGTTTCTCTGATGTTCATGTGCATTCACTTCACCTGGGAATCTTGCAAAATTACGGGTTCTGATTCAGCAGGTCTGAATGAGATGGGCAGAGATGTGCATTTGTAACAATCTCTCATATCTTGCTGATGCTGCCAATCCACAGACCACACTTTGAATAGTAGTGATATAGAGAAGCAGGAGGAAGAGGGAGGAAAATGAACGAAGAGTTAGAAAGTAGTCTCACAGGATGTCATGGCTGTGATTTTTTTCCCGGACCATAGGGAAGGCTCCGTTTTCTTTGCCTTCTTGATGAACTTTGACTAGAGCACTGGCTTAGTTTGATCTGGTTTTTTGTTTTGTTTTTTGATTTTTGTTCTCTGCTGTTTGTTTCTTTTGAATTTGTGTAACCCTGTGGGGCCAAGAGAAATGGTACATTGTTGGGCATGGTCTGGTTTAGTCCTCGGAGGGCTGGCTCAGAGCCAGGATGTCTGGGTTCCTTTTCCACTTCTACCAATTCTACCAGATCACTATGTGGCCTTAGAAAAGTCATTTAAGTCCTCTAGGCTTTGGTTCTCTGCCAGTAAAATGAAATGTTAGACTCTAATTCTATGCCTCTCTACTAGCTTTCTTGCATTTAGATTTTTGCTTTTACATAGGAGACAAAATAGAATGGATTATTTTGAGAATAACTGAATATAATTAATTCCTGAGCCTTGCACATAGTAGGAATTCAAAAGTAAAGACCAAATTAATGAACGATTTGCATGTGTTAATGATCTAAGAACTATGAATGGTGTGAGATGTATGGAGAATAAGATATAAGAGTTCCCCATGAACTGCAGTCCTTAAGAAAAAAGGGTCTTGTTATCCTGTTTGGAAAGGATTAAGAATACCCACTCACTCACAAAGGATCCCATATCTCTATGCATAGGTGTTATAATAATATCAATGGCTTGCATTTATTGAGCAATTATTCTGTTTCAAGCACTGTTCTGTGAGGACCCATCCATTAATATCAATCTAATCTTTACAACAATTGCTAGACCTAAATTTTTCTATTATATTCAGTTTACACATAAAAAAGCTAAGGCACAGAAGTTACATACCCCTCAATGGTCTCACAGCTATTGAGAGGCACGGCAGGACTTATTTAGGTCTTCCAAAGGCCAAAGACCATGTATGTAACCACTATTATACTGTCCCCCACCAGGCTGAGAAATCATCCTAAGAAATGGGATAGTGATACAGCTGATATACATCTATAAAAGGAGGGGAAATATACAAACCTGTAGCCAGCCCTGGTGGTCTAGTGGTTAAGATTCGGTGCTCTCACTGAGACAGCCCAAGTTTATTTCCCAGTCAGGGAACCGCACCACTCATCTGT